AAAGAACATTTTATTACAGTAGTTATAAACATACTTGATATAAATGAAAATTTTCCATCTCTCGTTAATTTCGTTTGTTCTTAACAATTTGAAATTTCCCTTTGTGATTTTGATAAACAAATGAATGAAACTTGGGAAAGAATTTCAACAAGAGTAAAACCCAACTGTAAACAAATACAAAAGCTAAATAGGTAAATAATGAAAGGCAAAACTTGCAAATGAAATCCATTCAAAGTTTTTACCCAATTCAAACTTAGTTGAGCGAAAAGTCAGTACTAATTTAACTTTTCTGTGGTATGAACAATATTTCTTCAATATTCCAGTAAATATTATTGTGCAAAACAATTGAACATTTAAAATTTTCTTTTTCTCCAATTTTCCAATGTTATCAATATTCTAGCTCTTAAATAAATAACTATTAAGTATCTACCAAATGTTTTGCAAATACCTATAATACACGACGGTTTATTCTATTTCAGCACGCGCGGAACGTGTTTTCTACGCACCTGTGAGAATTTTATGAAATCCCTTTTTTTGTTTGTTTATCCGATTTGTCAATCTAAGAGAATGTGTACTTACATAATACGATTTTTGCCGATATAATCTAGTAAACCTGTTAAACTTTACTTCATAAACTATTATTTCATATATTTTTAATAAAATTTGAAAAAGCAAACAAACTGACGGCGAATAGGACCTGGTGAATAGTATCACTATTTGGCGTCGTCAGTTGGGAAGTGGTAACTGTCATATATAAACATTGATGGCTAATGGATCACGGATAACATAGACACACACACATAGACACGCTGTAACGTCTTGAATACTTAGTAATTTTACTACCATCCAGGTTGCCTGTAAGATTGCTTTTAGCGATAAGGCCGCCTTTTGTATATGCACATTCTGTATAAATACTCCTTGTATACATCTTTACTGTGCGCAATAAAGAATTTATTATTACCATCTTATACTCTTAAACTGAAATACAATCGTGCATGCACAACTACCTTATAATAGAAATATTATTGGGACAGAGTAATGCTAACAACTTTACAAACTACATCTTTATGCCTTAACAAATCAACTGATAATCATTAAAATTGGTATATACATTTTTATCTTGGTCACGCCAACGAAATCACGAATATAGAGCTAGATTTACAGTAGACATAAAATAAAAAGACAGGAAACATAAAATTATTTAAGTACATATGCAAATTAAAATATTACCTTTACCATTTAGGATATGAAACCCTCTTATTTATAAAAATGTCAAACCTCAAACTGAACTTTTTAGCTATTAAACTCTTTTGTCCATTTCTTTGATGCTAAATTCTTAATTTGAAAGAAAGTGGCAAAACAGTGTAATAGTTAAAATAGGTTATTAGAAAGTTTTTTTTTTACAAATAAATGAATGAACTTTTATGAAAGAATTGTCTCCAACTTTGTAATATGAAAAGCCATAATTCTAATAATATTTATTATTTGAACTAAAAGTTACATTTAATTTAAATAATAATACAAGTAAGATAATTTTTTTTATATTACTTAGAATGGCAAACAAGCTGACAGTCCACCTGATGGAAAGTGGTAACCGTTGCCTATAGACATGAGCAGTACCAAGGACATAACAGAGTATACTGTTTCGCCCATGATACCCCCCATGCGTTGCCATTCCTGAGGACTCAGGTGTTATTCCTCTGTACCCAGTAAATTCACACCATATCCCACCCTTCAAACTGAAACACAGCCATGCAAACACAACTGCTTCACGGTTGAAACACGAATGGGACAGAGGTACCCAAGCAATAGACTTTTGTACAAAGTCTCCCTCTGATAAAATATTAATATAAATAATATATAAATAAATATTTTTTAGTATGCAACCCCATTTCCACAATCAAAGACTGTCACTTTGTTAAAATTAAAATGCACAAGATTTAAATCATTCAATAACTCAGATACACATTTGTATACAAGAGAAAAGGGATTGTTAATAACACAATTTCACAGTACTATGCTTGCATATATCCTATCAAGTTAACATCCATGCAGTTCCTCCTGAAAACTATCATGGACATTTGATGAATTAGTTATGATGTGCCAACTGACCTAATTCTATGCTCACCTATATCAGCTGTTCACTAATATCCTACCTGCATTAATTATACTATTCCATTATCATCCATTAAAAAAAAACATATAAATATAATGTTAACTAGTAACTGTTTTAATTACTTTGAAACATAACAATATGATTTTTCATATCAGACTACTTACCCACTAAATAAAGTTTAATTTTAATATAGTTTTAATATGCAATGTAAACCTCTTTTATCCAAAAATTACCTACATTCTAGCAAAATAAATTGGTTTTATATCATTAAAATTAAACTATTTAACTTTAATAGACAATGTTTTATTCACACAAAATCTGTGCTAGTAAACCATGCATGAGATTTGGTGGGATAATCCCAAAGGCATGAATTAACAAACTTAAGATATTACAAAGATGAAATAACATTTATGAACTAATAATAAACTCTATCTATGCTAAGAAAAATTGATCTTTTTTATTTGATAAACTCAAAAAACTTTTTAATTAATTATAAAAATTCTTTTACTTTATAAAAAGCTGCATTATCAGCGGGTGACATAAACTATATAATATTTAATATTTAAATAAAAAAAAAGTATCCTGTAGGGTTTTCCATAATGTGCTGTATACCTAAATCTGCTACCACCTAAACTGCAGATAAAAACTTCAAATAATTCCAAGATATTTGATGAAATAAAGTTATTCTCGAAAAATACAAAGTTTCTGCATTTTATATTTAAATATTTTAATAATTATAATTTTTAACTAAGTTTTGTTTTATTGCTTATCATTTAATCACTTTTCCAACAGACACAATTACTCAGATACAGTGGGACCACTCAGAAGGATGACAGACATATGTAGAGATCTACTAATTCTCATAGAATAAAGGGGCATAGAATCCTTTGGAAATGATGATAGGAATAGAAGAAAATTAACCTAGTGCTCTATTAGTAGTTTTAATTTTGCTAAATTTATCATAATTGTCATATAATATACAAATAACAAAATTTATTAATTATCTACAAAAAAAAACATTAATAAAATTTTAATTTGAGGTTATAAGAAATAATACCTTGGTAAGTAGTGGATTTCTCTGCATAAGTTGCGTAGTTACATACCACACATTTGCTGACACAAAAGTAATTTTTAACCTATACCGCAAACAAAAAATTTTATGACATTTAACTAAGAATCACAGGACAACTGCGTCACACTCAATTATCCAAACATTTGAAAGTAGGTCAACGGTTGTCCATATTATGGCATATCATGGTACAATAACGTAGAACTACCTTCTAGAAAGTCAGATCACAACCAACACGTTTCTTACGCACCCAAAATGTGACGCGTCGGCGTCGGTACCGCGAGAATAATGTCGCCCGTCAGCCATCGCATCACAGCACCGCGCCGCTACATGCTACCGCTACGACGCTATGACAAACTCGCGAATTACTATTCCCGTGTATCAAATAAAGCGATAAAACTATTAACCAACTTCTTAACCCTCTAATAACAGTTACTATGTGTGTAAATACATAGGAAACTCACCGTAAATAGGCTGAATCCAACAACAAAGAGTGTCCAGCCACGCGCTCCAATTATAGGGCACACACAAAACACGATTCCACAAGAAAAGCAGCAAAATTATTACACAAAGCAGTCTAATCTGTCCACAGTCAATATTAAATGAATTATCTACGGAGTATATAGTTTTTCGGTGTATCAAACACTAATCCAAAAAAGTAAACCTTGAAGCACCGCCAGCATAGACCGCCAGCTACGTACAAAATGGCGGATTTGCGTAACGAAAGTGACGCGCTGACGCGCCGACAAAACGCATGGACAATAATTTCTTTGTCTATGGCTCTATGCTATTTTTTTTTTATCCTATCCTTACAAGAACTCTAAAAACAGGATCATGTATGGCTTTAACAACGTCGCAGGTTTGTCATAATGATATTGAACAGAAATATTTCGATAAACATTACTCAAAGTTACAATTGCATTAAAGATAATGCCTACATACTTTTTCTGTCTGATTATTTACCTATTATAGTATTAACCTATCTAATTTGTAGGTAATTAATCACTTACATTTTTCGGAGAATGGCGAGCATGAATAGTATCTGCCAAAGTAAGTAAAGAATGGGTTATCGATACCGATATCGAAGTATTATCCTTTGCGCTCCAAGAAAAATGTTGCCGTAGACGATCAATAGCTTGAAAATCAATATATACATCCCACAAGACGCTTACTTATACCAAGTATTTGGCAGTCCCTTTTTTTATTTCTAAGATCAAGATAAGATAATTTAATCTAGTCTACAGCTAAAGTTTTATAATTCTAGCTTTAATTATAACAAATCCCCATATTATTTCAGCCCTTTAGAGGTAAATTTTTCAAAAGGCCGTAAACATATTAATTTTTGTTTTAAATTATGAGCCTAAGAGTTAATTATGAGATTTAAAATTTCACATGGCCAATTTCTAAACTAATACAATTCTACACAAAATATCATTCTCCGTTTTACCCCTTTAAGGGTTGCTCCTTTAAAATGCTTGTCTTATTATTCACCTTTACTATATAAAGAATTTATGTGCAATATTTCAAGTTTCTAAATTTAAATGACAATTAATCAATCAGTATCCTCTTTTAAAAAGAAAATAAATTACAAAGTAAGCCGTTAATTGGTTCTCACAAATGGGTTAAACATACTCTCTGAGTGGCGCACAAAGCGTAAAGCGAATTCATTTCTCGCCTTCTTTTGGTATTATTACTATTTAATTGGCTGGAGTGTCACTTCTACCTAATCTTTATTCTTTTGCTATTGTGTTCTGTGTATTAGTTACGCCATAGACAAAGATCTCTCTCTCTCTCTATCTACGTTAGTATATATGTTAGCTATTGGATGATGTAAACGAGAACTATGACGACTACCAAATTACCAATGGCCGTACAATCAGCTGAGTTTTGTTTTCATTTGATCAATTTCGTAAGGTAACCACGTTTGGGGGAGCATTGCATACTGACGATACAATTAAACATTTCAATTACGATTAAAACATGAACGAGTTGAAGTCTCTTGAGCACGCAACACTGAAGGTATTTAAATGAATTTAATTTGTTAAACAAATGCTTACTCCATATTTCTTCGTATTGTCTTTGTTTTAATTATTATTAATGCGATTATCGTGAATTTCTTATTGCCACGCATGTGGTTTTTATTTATTCACTGGATTCTTGTAAATTTATCCCTTAGGGTAGATAGATAACATAGAATCATTTTTTAATGTCACGTCGTATTAGGTATAATATGTTCACACCCACATTTCTTATTATAGTTTTTTGGATAAAGATCCATCTATAGAACAACAGTTTATTTAAACAACAATAATTTATACAATATAGAAATAAGCAATTAATATGCAATGCTTACATACAATTAAAAATTTTATTAAAAGAAACATTTAATTAAAATAGATTTGTAATAAAAATCACTTTAAAATAAAATCATTACATTGCCACAGACAGGTTGTCAAAAACTGTCATACTACAAAAAAGTTAAACTTGCTATGAACATGTGATCAAGACATGTTACTGCAAATACATATCTATCATATGTTATTGTCTAAACAAAAGAAAATCTGTCTTATTAACATTAAAATGTATTTAAATTAAATAAATAAAAAAAATTACAATATTTTATTTACAAAATTGCAATATATTGCAGATTTTGATATATAAATTTACAAATAAATATTACAAATTTTTACCTGCAACATTATTCATGTAACCAGGATTAAACATAATAACTAGGATAAAAAGTAACCTACATTTATTTATTTATTCTTTATTGCACAATAAAATCTGTACATATGGTAAGCTTAATGCCTATATCCTTCTTCATTCCGCATAGTATGTGTACAAAAACCAAACTTCGTAGTGATTGCCTAAGCTATTAACAAACATATGTTTACAAACTCATTTTCACATAATATTAATAAGGATTATAACAATTAAACTATATTTATTCACAGAGACATAGTTTTATTAAACTTTGTTTAGATAGTGTTCATTCAAAATACTAACTTCCTTATTCATAAGTACATCCTACATCTCGTAAACTTTGAAATGTTTTGTCTTTTTCTCTTCTGCTTAATTTCTAATTTAAAAGGAAGTGACAAAACATTGTAATAGTAATAGAATGTTTAAATATAAGTGTTTTTATCAATAAGGAGGTAATCAAAAATTAATTAATTATTATATTTCAATGTATTCATAACTGACTATTTGTATTAATCTGAGTGTTTCTATGTATAGTAAGTACCTATCTCTCTATCCTATTTAAGAGCTGGGCACTTGTTAGTGGAACTCTTGCTACTCACTATGATTTTCTGTAAGTCTCTTCACCTCTTGATACAACATGACACCAACTCCTTCCTTGATCTGCCTGATGTAACTATGCTTTGGTTCTCCTCTTCCTCTCCTTCCTTCTATTATAATGTTCATAAGATCGTCATATTGTATCAAGTGTCTCAACATTTTTTTCCTTCTGACCTCAAAACCTCTTATAATTTCTCTCTTTTTCTTAATGCTAAGCAAGACCTCCTCATTACTAATTCAATCTTTCAGCTAATTTTCTCTATCCTCCATATATATATATATATATATAGTAGATAGTATTAAAGTACAACATTTATACATTCTTGTATGAAGTGGCCAATCTAAACATGCAATTGTATATAAAACATTAATCAGTACAATTACCATTTGTACGCTCCTGTATGAGACAGTCAATCTGTACAGGTTCCATATGAAGTCTTCAACAAGCGCTACCGTAATGCTCAACGTGTCCTCGATGTAGAAGCGAGGCAGGTGGGCAGCGCCGGTTGCGAGCTCGAAAGTGCCACCAGAAAGCAAACTACTACTGGAGAAATTGATTCCTTACTAGGAGGAATGGTATGTGTTCAAGTCATGATTACAACTTTAATATCTATTTTTTATAGTTTACAGTCACTATATTTATTGTCATGTGGTCTGTAGATTACTCTAGTAATGATAAATTTAACATTTTTTTTTAATTTAGGATAAGCTAAGGGCTCAAGTAACAAAAAGTAGTAACTATCACCTATACATATGAACAGCACCAGGGATATCACAGAATATGAACACAGAACATGAAATGACACTCCATTTCAAAAATTTTGTTTTTTTTTTTTTCAATAAGACTCATTCTAATTCTGTTTTGTTACATTATTTTCACTCTCAGGTGGAGAAACTTACGACGATGAAGCGCAAAGCATCTGAGGCTATAAACGAGGAGCTACAGGCGGCGATGGTGTGCAAAAAACGGCTGGAACATTTAAAGGAGCACGCGCATTCCATCACTGAACCAAGCACACCGCAAGTTAGAGTATGTATGGTTTAAGATTTGTGTATTCTATATTTAATACTAATACCACAGTGTAAGGAACAAGCAGCGGTCCAATGCTTTTGGCATGTCTCAAGCCTTGCTCTGTGTACACATGTCCATTAGATGACTTGATAGTATGACTGTGTACTAACATTATAAACATGAAAGTTGTAAGAATATTTGAATATTTATTACTCAAATATGAGCAGCTGAATACATTTTAATAATATTTGATGTACAGCTTAACTATAGCCTACCCTCCTTTTTCTTAAAAGCGTCAAACCCTCTTATAAACCTTTTTTAACTATTGGAGTTTTTTGTCCTTTTCTTATGCACTTATTTCTCAATTTGAAAGACTGTAATAGTTAAAATAGGTTTGTAGGATGTTGTAATTTTTATGAATAATAATACACTTCTTGCGCCAAATAGCTATCGTCTTTTTTCTTTTCTCTACCCAAAGGTTGTCTGGAAAAGATTGCTTTAGAGATAAGACCGCCTTTTACTTCATAAGGTTTTGTATTATTCTTTAAGTGGTGTAATAAATAGCTAAAAAAACAAATAAGGGGGTAAATTAATAATAATAATAATAAATAATCTTTATTTCACTCTTTGTTACAACATAATTTGAAGTCCCTAACTCCCGAGATAGGTATGAAAAAACCTGTGTTTCAGGAGTTAGTTAAATTAATATATATGATACTTTCTATCCTAATTCATTCTGGCAAAGCTCTGTAATAGGTATAGCCAGTTTATCACAATCAAAACATTTCACCTTTCAAACTGAAACATAAGTGCGACTTTCATATAGGCATGTGTAAGACGGGGCAGGATAGGCCATGCCCACTCTAGAATCATCCGGTGCCCGTTCCAGTATGCGAAAATACGTAGGTATACGTCTTTCTTTAAAGCACCTACTCCCCCCCCCCCCTCGAAAAATAATCCTAAAGAAGCCAATGGTCTCCCACTTGCCTTAAGTCCCTCTAAAATAATTTCATTTTCTATTTCAGACGGCTCTAAACCAATGGCGCAAGGTGCGTCTCGACCGAATGCTCGTCGACTACTTCTTAAGAAACGGGTACTACGACTCGGCGAATAAACTGGCCGACGCTCGCTCCCTCAGGGACCTCACCAATGTTGGTAAGAGACAGGGTACATTAAGCACACAAATGACGATTACAGATTAGTGGAAAATCCATCTATTAATAGCTGCTTCCGTTGAGTGTTTATACCGAAACTACAGATAATATAATATAATATAAATAACATAATAAAATAAATAAAAATAGTATTAAGGATCCAACATTTACACGCCAATGTATGGCGAAATATGTACGGGATTGTTAATGGGTCTAACTGACCCATTGCCAGCAATACACCCTTTCAGGTCGACCTCCACGTGGTTCCCCCTAGAAACCATCATGGTTAATTATAGTGCAATTCGTCACGATGGGCTAATTAACCTACTTTCATCGGTCCCTATTATCCTCCACTGGTATCCAGCCAGCGTATACTGATAGCGTAGGCAGGGTTTCCATTACATTATCACCCATTAAAAAAAACTAAACACTTAACTAGCCAACACCGTAATCTTGTGATCTAAAGCTAAATATAGTTTGAATTCATTGCAAAGTCCATGCTACATTGTTGTAGCAGATTCGTGATTATTTTCTATTAATATTTACTAAAGGTTACGGACAAATATATATATATATATATATATACACATATCTCTATTCAATAATGCACCACCTACTTATTTCTCGGTTTGCCCAATAGTTGACTGGTAGAGAACACCGTCCGGTGTTAAATCCGCCAAATGTAAATATAATTTTACTGTGCATTAAAGCTTAAATTTATATATAGTCTAACTAAAATGAAACTTACTAGCACTTTATAAAGTAAAGAAAATCCTTGTAGCGTATGTAAATAAATATTAACAATATTCATATCTTGGCCACTTGTAAATATCATCAAGTAGGGTAATTCAATTGTACAGGGGGGAAGGGATTGTTAGAAATGGGGATTAGTAACCCTATTACTAGCAATATACTCTATCAGGTCGACCTCCTCGCGGTTCCCCCTGGAAATCATTGTATTCGAATCATTAGTGAATTTGTCACGATGGGCTAACTAATCTACGTCATCCTCACCTATCATCACTCACTGGTGCCCCGCCAGTGTATACCGATAGCGAAGACGGGGTTACCATTCCATTATCATTCAGTAAAATAAAATTGTACATAGATATTTCAATCATTTAGCTGAATAGATATGACAGCGACGTTTCATCTTACATACATTTTCGTTGTCATACTCTCTGTCTTGATCGCTCGTCTCCCGCACTCCAATTACGGTTTTGCTATTTTCCTCTCTGCATATATTTTTTGTAAATACCCTCTGTATATAATATATGTAAATAGATAAAGCTAATCGTTCTTGCTTATTAACCTAAAACAACTACATCTTCATGTTTTGATTCCTAGAGTTTTTATCCAGTAATTTCACTACCTTTTAATTAGCGATCAGCCCCGGCTTCGCACGGGTGCAATGCTGATGTTAAATAGCGCTGCCAGCCCGTTAGAAACTTCTAAAATTATCAGTGTTTCTCTACTATACTATGCATGTATTATACATATAAACCTTCCTCTCGAATCACTCTATCTATTAAAAAAGACCGCATTAAAATTCGTTGCATAGTTTTAAAGATCTAAGCATACATAGGTACAGACAGCAGGAAACGATGTCGTTTTATATTATTATTATTAGTAGTAATGTGTTACTGTCTACTTAGCAAACCGACCTTTTTTTTATATATTTTTATTTTTACTCACTTGTCGGCTCTCACTGGTATACCGTATACCGATAGCGCAGGCAAGGTGACCATTCAATTTTCACCTATTCAAATATTTGTTGTCCACAATAAAAAAAACGACTTCAGTCGTTTTTTTTATTATATTGTTATGACCACAACCAAAGAACCTTCTTTTTCAAGTAAATTGACAAAATATATATCTCTTCGCAGATATCTACGCAGCGGCGGCGGAGGTAGAGGCGGAATTACGCCAGCAGCGAACGGCGCGCTGCCTGCAGTGGTGTGCGGACAACAAGTCCAAACTGAGGAAGTTGAACTCCAACATGGAGTTCAAGATACGGATACAGGTAATGCGCTATCGGAATACGCTGGCGGAACACCAGTGAGGGATGATAGGTGAAGATGAAGCAGGTCAGTTGATCCGTCCTGATGAATTCATCAAAAATCAACCACGATGGTTTCCAGGGGGAACCGCGTGGAGGTCGAACAGTTAGAGTATATTGCTAGTAATGGGTTTGATGGATCTCATTACTAACAATTCCTGTCCCCCTCTGGAATGTGTATAATTTATATCATAGAATCTTTACGTGGACGGTAAAGGCTCCTTATGGCTAAAATTATTTTTTAAATATCATCATTTCAGAGGGAGACTTTATACAAAAGTCGTTTGCTTGGCACCTCTGTCCTATTCGTGTTTCTACCGTGAAGCAGTTGTGTTTGCATAACTGTGTTTCGGTTTGAAGGGTGGGATATGGCGTGAATTTACTGGGTACAGAGGAATAACACCTGAGCCATAACGGCAACGCATTGGGGGTATTATGGGCAAAATAGTGTATTCTGTTATGTCCATAGTACTGCTCATGTCTATAGGCGACGGTTACCACTTTCCATCAGGTGGGTCGTCAGCATGTTTGCCATTCTAAGTTGTATAAAAAAAAATTGTGTTGAAGTTATCGAAACATCGTATGTTGTCTCCAGGAGTTCATCGAGCTAGTCCGCGAAGACAAACGGTTGGAGGCGGTCCGCTACGCCAAGAAACACTTCTCCACCTACGAGGAAGGGCAACTGCAGGACATACAGCACTGCATGGGCATGCTCGCCTTCCCAAAGGATACAGGTATTATTATAATTTTTTTTTTCTTATAACATGGGGCAAATGATCATGCTTACTTGAGGCCTATAAAAAAAAAAAAAATATATATATATATATATATATATATATATATATATATTTATTAGCTTGAACAAAACATAATTGTAGTTTATAAATTAATGTAACTATGTTAATTCTCTGTAATGTGTACCTATTGAAATAAAATAAAATAAAATAAAATCAAAGGCAGCTAAACACCGTAAAATCGATTTCATTTTCACTCTGTACTCAAATATAGAGGGAGTTGTATTAATTAAAATTCAAATTATTACTAATATTCGTTACTAGAGGGAGACTTTGTACAAACGTTGTTTGCTTGGGTACCTTTGTCCGATTCGTGTTTCAATCGTAAAGCAGTTGTGTTTGCATGGCTGTGTTTCGGTTTGAAGGGTGGGATATGGCGTGAATTTACAGAGTACAGAATAATAACATCTGAGTCCTCAGGAATGACAACGCATGGGGGGTATCATGGGCGAAACAGTATGTGTGTGTACTGTTATGTCCACGGTACTGCTCATGTCTATAGGCGACGGTTACCACTTTCCATCAGGTGGGCCGTCAGCTTGTTTGCCATTCTAAGTTGTATAAAAAAAAAACATACGGATGAGCAGGTTGTAATACGATGTATTATTGTTATAAACGCAGAGTGCAGACCTCTGGGTTCTTAGTAATGTATGTGGTGTATGGTGTATGGTGTATGGTGCAGAGGTGGAGCCGTACCGCTCGCTGCTGTCGGCGCAGCGCTGGGCGGCGCTGGTGCGGCAGTTCCGCTGGGAGCACGCGCGCCTGCTGCACCCGCAGCGGCTGCCCGCGCTGCCCGTCGCGCTGCAGCTCGGGCTCGCCGCGCTCAACACGCCGCAGTGCTACAACGACGCCACCAAGGTACGCCGCCACGCGACCATGTCTCGTGCCAGCTCACGCACTCGTCTGCAGGGGCTGGACCACTTACTGGTGCCCTCCGGAAGAAACTTATCAGAGGGGGGGGGGGGGGAGGGATTGTTAGTAATGGAGACTGAGAATCCTATTGCTAGTAATATACCCAGCCAGGTCGACCTCCTCGTAGTTCTCTTTGGAAACTATCATGGTTGGTTCGTAATTCATCATGATGGGCTAACTGGCCTGTTTTCATTCTCATCTATCTCCCTTCACTGGTGCTCCGCCAGCGTATCCCGTTAGCGCAGGCGGGGTTACCATACCATTTTCACCCATCAAATAAAAAAATAAAAAATACTAAAAATAAGCCATCCCCTTCGAATTTTGCCAGTAATTGCCATTTTAGCAGGCGGATTGGCAACCGTAGGCTTTTGGTGATGGCAGCTCACCCTTCGCCCTCCTTAGTCGCCTTTTAGGACACTCACGAGAAAGGAACCATACATCATATATATAGATTATATTTATATTTTTTAAATATCTCCTATATATTGTCATCATATTGTTGCAATTTATTACATTCGTATGTTCGTATGTGTGCAGGTGTCTGCATGTCCGGCGTGCCAGCCGCCGCTGGATGCCCTGGCGCGGGAACTGCCTCACGCGCACTGCAGCCACTCGCGGCTCGTGTGCCGCATCACCAACCTGCCGCTCAACGAGCACAACCAGCCCATGGTGTTGCCCAACGGACAGGTCTACGGAGAGAAGGTATCTACTGCTTACAGTTTATATCTAACGACTCAAATGTAAGTTTAACAATTAAGGAGGAAAAGAATTGTTAGGAATAGGTTTTAACAACTTCATTTATATCAGTATACACTATGAGATGGGCCTGTATGGAACTACTCCCTCCCTCCTCCCTAGAAACTACTGTGGTTAAATCTTTTGGGCTTCTTCACGATGGGTCAACTGGCCTTCCTGCATCATCACCTATCATCTATCACTGATGTCCCGCAAAAGTATACCGATAACACAGACGAGATTGGGGGGAAAGGGATTGTTAATAATAGAGACTGAGAATCCCATTGCTAGCAATATACCCAACCAAATCGACCTCCTCGCGGTTCTCCCTGGAAACTATCATGGTTAATTCCTGATGAATTCATCATGATGGGCTAACTGGCCTGTTTTCATTCCCATCTATCACCCTTCACTGGTGCTCCGCGAGCGTATACCGTTAGCGCAGGCGAGGTTACCATACCATTTTTACCCATCAAAAAAAAACACAGACGGGGTTCATATTTCCTTTTCACCTATTAAGAAAAAATACAATGAAAATTAATATTCTACACTGTGTTTGCTCATACAGGTTCGTCACTCAAGAACTTTTCTTCCCCATCGTTTGTCGGTTCTTCCGGTCATGTTTTCCTGATACTATTTTTATTTTTTTATTCGTACTATTATATAATTATTATATTAGTAATAGTCACTATATTATTAAGTATAATTAACAACTTTTTATTTTACCTTTACAGGCCATAAAAGAGATGGTGAAACTGGGCTCTATTGTGTGTCCAAAGACCAAGGAGGTGTTCTCGATGAAGAGTATCGAAAAAGTGTACGTCATGTGAACGATCCTATATACGCATACACTTGTATATACTCGTTTATTGTAGTTACTATATCACCGGCTATTGTTCCAAGAAATTTCTGTAGGGCGTCCAATAATTACGCAGTTAAATGGGAGGAATTTGATGAATTCACATGAAATTATGCCAAATGTTTCAGTATATTAAATAAATAACTTATAATGGCATTAGAGGGCGAAGGGGGGGAGGGGGGTTAGTACTACTACATCTCGTATAACCAAGGTGGAGGGAGTATAATTAAAAAAAATATCACGTAATTAATGGACGTCCCCAAACGAGATATTTTTGATGTAATTCTTTACATTGTTTCATTCCTTGATCATTGATCGATAGCGTAATGTGATAAGAACGAACAAAAATACTGCGTAGAATGGAACGTGTATTTAAAAATCGGTAAACGACGACGGCTTTTGAGTGTTGTGACGTGATTAAAATATTTAAACTTACATTCAAAAAGGTTAGAAGTGTTCGATTAATATGGTAAGGTTTTATATTGTTTATTCACTATGAATTTATTGCTTAGGAATCTCTCTTAAACAGTGAAAATGAATTCTTAGTATTTATAGTCGAATGCTATCAATTCACAACAAAAAAAATATTGGCTGGTTCTACTACGTGGCATCGTCTGGTGTTAAGAGACCACCTTTTGATTGCATAATTCAAATATTCATCTAACCTAATTTTATTCACATTTACAATTTGGCGCAATGTGGCAATCCTGTGAGGTTTTTTCCAGTATTATATTTACAAATTTTTTTTTTAATTATGGCATAAACAATTACGGTAAATTTACAAGTTATTGCAAAATTAAAATTTTTTCCATATTTTTGCTTCAGGGGATTGCATTTTTTGCTTTAAAAGCTCATGTAAAATTATATAGGTTGCACTATTCTCTTACATTCTTAAGTCTATTCTGTATAGTTTTTAATATTCTCATTGTGTCATAATCATAAAAAATGTTGCATTGAGAATTTGAAAAATAAATCTAATAACTACCTAATATCTTTTATTTTGTTTCGTCACGTACCTAATAATAACGTAAAAAATAATATATAAATTAATAACTATATATATATATATATATATATATATATATATATATATATATATATATATATATATATATATATAACAACACATGATTTTTATGTAGGAACAAATTTATTTTATTTCAATTAAACTTATTCACATGCCGACTACTTTATTGCGAAGGTCATCGGAGAAATTTCGCAACATATATATATATATATATATATATATATATATATAATATAAGCTCACATTCACAGGAAATTAAACATTCACAGTATTATAAAACTCAGAGAATCGCATTCTAGCAATATACCCTATCAGGTTGACCTCCACGTGGTCCACTTTGTATTCCAGGTATATTCATCACGATGGGCTAACTGACCTGCCTTTTCATTCTCACCTATCACCCCCCACTGGTGCCCCGCCAGCGCATATCGTTAGCGAAAGCGGGATTACCATTCCATTATCATCCATTAAAAAAAATATCCAATAGGGTAGTTAGATATATTTGATGATCGCTGACTTCCGCTGACGTTGTAATGAACGTAGCATTGACATGACCATATTTCTGTGATCTAATAAGTCAAATATAGGATTAATTTTGGCATAAAATGTTGCAGTGGAAGCGTACTGGGCCCATAACCTATTGTAAATAGCAGGATGCAGTAATAAAACGTATATGTATTTATGATATAAAATAATAAGTTTAGTGAAAAAATACATGTCTCATAAAAATCTAACATAGAACAAACATAAAAATAATACATTGTTCTAAAAAAACCTCAGTGTCAACAGCCAGTATTAAAACTCCAATATAAAACACCTTGTGTGTAAAATCTAAACATAGTAAAAAAAAAATACACAACATACCTCAAATATTTTTATTGATTTTAACATTTTTCTCTTAAAATAGATTTTTTTTTACATTGTCGTGAAATAATTAACGACTTAGAATACTCGTAAATGGCATATTTTATCACAATACATTATATCTATAATCTCTACACACACGTTGCTTAGCAAAGTATAATTTCAAAAATTGCAGTTCAATCCTTTATAATATAAACATTTTATGTTTATACAAAGACAAATATATTAATTTTAACAACAAACACAAAATATTATTTAATTATTTATTTAAACATTTAAACTGAATAAAAATAAATAAAATATTTTGCTAAGCAACTTACATAAACATTTGTTCTTAATAAAATGAAATGCAAAAAGTTCTATATGTAAAAATGTGAATATAATAACTTGAAATATTTAATAAGTGACTAATATTGAAGTAAAATATAAATTCACTTACTATTTACAAACTAAATATTACGGGAAACTATCACAATAGAGTGGAGGTTGTACTATCGACTAACTATACACTTATTACATAATAGCCCATCGCTCATCAAACCAAATCAGCCCCCTGGACAAAGTATATATTAGTTTAACTATATGTATTATAAGTAATGTTTATGTATTAAATGTGTATTTCTTATGTATAATTATTTCAGTATCTTACTATAATTATGTCACATATTTTTCACCACCTCTGCCTTCATACGCTTAATGTTTTTACCTAATGGTTAGCTGATAGAGAATGCCATATGGCATTAAGCTCGCCACTTGTACAAAGTTTTATTGTGCAATAAAGAATAAATAAATAAATATATAAACGAATCGATTGATAGAATCGTTATCGCTAGCGAATATATGAGATAGAATGACATGACGACGTGCGACTATCTTGTTCTTTCTCATGTGTTTCTATTCTATCGATAGATCCGTTAGTACCTTGTCTACAGGGGCTGGATACTAGGTAGTATTTTTATATTTATGTAAATAAAGCATATAAATATACAGGGTGCAAGGGGCAAATAAATATACAGGTTGACAAAAACTGAATGAATTCAGACCTGAACTGTTGCTGTTCTGAACTGTTTTATTTATTTTTTTTATTTAAAATCATTTAATCTATGATATTAAGTAATAATATAAATAAATAATAATATTTTATAGTGAAATACTATGAAATACCTAAAAACAACAATGTAAAATTTGTATTATAATTCTACAGCGACGCGCGGAATCAGTAGTGTAAAGTCACCGATACGAGCGTTTGAAACTACCTACGAAGAAGCGCCATGGATCGGGCAGTGTAAGTATTACGCGTCGTGTGGATCGTAAAATTTCAAATACATTGCGCGGCGTCAAAACTAAGAAAAATATTTCCTTTGAAAAAATAATCTGCCATCTGATTCAGACCATTCATCTGAATCAGCTGTTTCGTTTTGGTCAACCAGTCCCTTCCACTTAAAAAAAAAAAAAAAAAACAGGAACTGTTTTGATAATAAAGAAGGATCTTTATCAAGTTGACATAGTCATTATAAGGATATTGAATGTGAATATAAAAAAAAAATATGTCATTATTTAGTCCATATTATGTCTCAGCTCCGCTTTGGTGGGCAATAGACAAAAAGTTAATTTTTTTTTATTTTTTAATCTGTATCTCACAGATTCTTTTACAATCCAGAGTCATTTGCAAATTATATGACTATTTTCTAAAATGAATTTTGTACATGATTTTGGTAAATATTACAATTGCTTTTATACTCATATTAAAATACGATAAAACAAACGTTGAAATATAAAATTATTATACTTATAATATAAATGTGAAAGTTTTTATAGACGTTTGGACGTTTCTTAGTCAAGCACATTGAAATAGATAGGAAATCTATAAAATCAAAGACAGCTAAATCTGTCAAATGTTCAGGAAACTACAATTTCAGGAAACTAATATTTTGTCAAGGATATGGAACAATATTGTATAATAATAATAATAATAACTTTATTGCATAACCATGACTGTAATAAACTCAGCACTGGAAATTACAGTAAAAGTAGGTACGAATTCATTTGTACATTTGGATCAGCCTAAACACCTGTCTCTGAACTAGGTTATAAAACCTGTATCTCAGGCAACAGCGCTCAACCCTCATTAAATAGTATAATATTAGTTCAGCAAAATTTTTAGTGCTACATATAGAATGTTGATTTTATATAAAGTTAAAGTCTATATTTTAAACCAGATTGAAAAATATTAGTAATAATTTGAATTTTAATTAATAGAACTCCCTCTATATTTGAGTACAGAGTGAAAATGAAATAGATTTTATGGCATCTAGCTGCCTTTGATTTTATAGGCGTCATAGGTGCATTCACTACAGTTAGTGAAATATAAACACAAAAATATTAAAAATTATATATTTCCTTTAAATTATTTTCGTAAGCGATATTTTTTGGTTTCATGGCATACAATTCATCGTGTAGTCCCACCATAGAATTGGCTATCCCGTCGTTTGAGGGTGTTGTAAGAGGCGACTAAGGGAGCTTAATAGTCGAGAGATGGGCAGCAGGATCCCTCTTAACCCTTCTTTGCATAATGGTCGAAATTTCCATCATAACATTGAATGCCCAAAAATTATATAAAAGAACAAGTTCATTTTAAGTTGATCGTGTCTGGATACCTTTTTAATGTCCACTGCAGAAAAAAAAAACGTAGCTGTCAAATTTATTTTTTTAACAATATTTACTTTAATTTTGAACATGAATTAATTATATTACTTTGAATTATTTCACCAATAAAAAAATCATGCAAAGAAGGGTTAAAACATCAAAACCTAACGGCGATCGCAAACTTGAAAATTTATACTTAACAAGTGGTAGTTAATGCCTCAACGTCACTATTTTATGTTTGGCTTATACCTACATATATTTTATGTATAAACTTTATTGGCACAGAATTAATCTTAATACATAAAAATTCTGTGTCACGATGCACCTTTAAGCTAATATCTAAAATAAAAATTAATCAATTGAGTTTAAAGAAATTTTATAAAAAATCGTAATGTTTGCTCCAATATTAAAGCTAAAATATCTTTAATCAATCAATGGTCTCGTTTCCCGCATAAAGAGTATATATAGCGGGTGAGATAGGGGCGTCGGGGCGAACCCCACTACCCTTCAGCTTTAATTCCGGAGGCCACAACCTCAGGGTCACTGGGTCTAAGCCAACATACAAAGTGTTAGTGTATGTCGCCGTGGCTTTAGAATAATTTTTATCTAGATAAGAAAAATGGAGCCGGTAGATGGCGGTAGGGAGCAAAAGAACGTTTACGGGGTACGCGTGTTTTATATACCTCATATAAAACTAGATGCTACATAATGTCAAATGTATTACTGTAATATCCTTAGTAAATTACGTGATTTAAGTTAATTAAGCACCTAGCATGCATTGTTATACATTATATACATGGTTTCTGAGCGATTATTCTTATATACTTAATAATAAAAAAAATACGTAAAGTACCTCTTTGTATCCATAGTCTATGTCTAAACATTCACAGTCTAATATTTGATTTTATAATACTAATACTCTTCAACGTTACGTTACGAATGTCGCCATTTTCAAATTGTTGCACAGTTCAAATTAAGAATTAAATTTTTTTTTAATTAACTTTACGGCTAGTCATTAGTAGGCATGGGTAACATTGATACTGTGCCGATATCTACATTGGGTTCCTGCGGACATTAATGATGGAAAAAAGGTCATCACCCATTTCGATATAGCTCGTACTGATTCTAACCAATATACATAATCATTTCAATCGGGTTTGTCATTTTGTATTTCGATGTTATATATGGAAAAATCGATGTTTAATATATCCGTTATTGGGCCTTTATATATTATTGTAACTACAATATATAGCGGGGAAAGAGGGGGAAAGGGATTGTTAGTAATGGAGACTGAGAATCCCGTTGCTAGCAATATACCCAACCAGGTCGACCTCCTCGCAGTTCCCCCTGGAAACTATCATGGTTAATTCCTGATGAATTCATCATGATGGTCTAACTGGCCTGTTTTCATTCTCATTCATCACAAGAAGATTGTCAAGGACGTCACTATTTATTTTTTTACAACTACGTAGGTTTGAAATAGGTTGGAATAATAGCCTACAAGTCCCTGATAATTCTGTAATGGGCACAGCATACTCGACCCCCTCTATGATTTAGTAACAAAATTCGCAGCGGTATCGTAGCAACTTACTAGTGTTTAGCTACTATCGAATATTAACGTACTTTGAACCAAACGGCAAATAGATTTATCGGTAGAGACAAACTAGAAACTTTGACGTTTTGCAATTTGAACTTTTCTTTGTCGAAAATTACAACATTCGCAAATTAACTTTTTTTTTCATTTTATAATGGCGCTTGAAATGAGAATGAATTATTTGAAAATATGAATATTAATAAATATTCAAAATCGTCTCAGCGACGTTAAGATAACGAAAAAAAATTATTATAAAAAATATACTATGGAAAAATCATAGATAGTAGTAGTAATAGTAGAATATTAATAGTAGAATAGTAGATAGATAATAGAATTAATAAGTATATTATCAACCCTTTTCAGAGATGTTTTCTCCCACGAACACTCAGGTTATGGAATGAGCTTCCTGCCGAGGTTTTCCCAAGAGACTACAGCATGGGGTTCTTCAAAAGGGGGTAAAGAGGTTTCTTCAGGGTCGGCAACGCGCGCGTAATACCTCTGGTATTGCAGGCGTTCATAGGCTACGGTAACCGCTTACCATCAGGTGGGCCGTATGCTTGTTTGCCACCTCAGTGGTATAAAAAAAACAACCCTGGTATTAAAGAAGTTATTAAATAAAAAATTAATGAAACTAAACAAGTTTGTTGCAATACTAATTAGTAATTACTTTTTCCATACAAAATGCGAGGTCACGTGATCTATATAGCAACCTTTCGTATCATCTGCATTTAATATTATATGAAAATAACATGAGTTGAAGCAATTGAGCCGGTTGTCCATTTTGCTAGTGAATATTTAACAAATTCAAGCACCACATGCAGAACAGGGGAAGTTCAAGTACTACGTAAAGTAATTTGTAGGAGTGGGGGGGGGGGGGGGTGTCTTGTAATCGGAATCGAACAATGCGTTAAATAACTTTTTTTTAATAATTAAATAAATAATTAGGGAATTAAACTCTCCAAAGTTGGCGACTGCTTATGTTTATGTTTTACAGGCAATCCCTCGACTGTATTGTTATATTTTTTTTAATATATTTTTGTTTTGTTTTAAGTAACAATATTTGATAGTGTACTTGTAGGTAATAATAGTCACTTAGGTGTTACGTAACGCCTAGGGAGAAGTAGGGGGCGGAGGGGGGTATAGAGAAATGTTACAGCGCGTTACATCAAATCTTCAAAAAAGGTTAACGCCTTTTTTGAAGATTTGTACGTAATACTTGAACATCCCCACGAATGTTAATTATTTTTTTCTTATTTTTCTATTTTATTTTTTAATGGAAAACAAACATTTGGGACTGATTCTGAAATGTATTTTTTCAAAATTATATTAGGATAGATTGAAAAATGACATTTCAAAATCGGCATTGTTTCAATATCTATATAATTAACCCGTATTGGAAGTTTCGTAAACTGATATCTACGTATTAAAATATACATAATATTTTTTTTAAAACTTATGCTCATAATTTTTAAAATATTTACATATATAACTAGATAACGAGAATTTAATGAACTTACTATGTTCGTAGTAATAAATATAGTATGTACATTAAATTTTTTGTATAATAAATTTATATTTAAACAAAATATAAATTTATTCGTGATATAATCACAAATTTATAGACATTTAAACGTCTGTTATATATAGTATTTAAATATACACGTTATGTACTGCTCACTGTAACATTGCGCGTGCGACAATACACATTTTACAAATATTTAGTGAGATATTTGGTGTCAATCAATCAAATAATTAGTATTTTTTCACCAACAAATTTGTTGAATCCCACAAGTATATATATATATATATATATATATATATATATATATATATATATATATATATATATATATATATATATATATATATATTGTAGTTTTAGTGACTTGTCACTTGTACCTTGCTACAACGTGAAGTGTATAATTAAAAAATATGTCCTAACCTTGGCTTTGATGGTTTGTCTACCCGCATATAATGATAAAGTTCTATCCACACCGAAATTACGTTAGAGCAACGTTTTTAAGTGTTGATTGGTGACAATCAATAGTGCTAACTAATATTATATTTTTTACACACGAATAACAACTTCAGTGACAACAACAGTTGCTCCACAAATAGTAACTACAAGTGAAACACTTGCTCCACAAATAGTAACCACAGGTGAAACGCTTGCTCCACAAATAGTAACTACAAGTCAAACACTTGCTCCACAAATAGTAACTACAGGTCAATCACTTGCTCCACAAATAGTAATTTCGGTGTGGGCACTCCTTAAGGCGGACATATTTGGCCTGCTACGGTGTCTACCCACAGTAATATGTCATGGCGGCCATGAGCGCGACGCCCAGAAACAGCGCGGCGAGGTGCCGCAGCGACTGCATGCGGTCGCGCTCCCTCTGCAGCTCGGGCAGCACGGTCACCAGCGCTATATGCAGGAACCCGCCCGCTGTGAACGGAGCTATCCACGACGTCTTCGCTTCTGTTGATGACAGGATTTTTTTAAAGATTAGTTACGTGTTTTGTTATACAAGTGAGAATGGTAAACAAGTTTTTTTTTATCTATCCAGCTTTGGATTAAAATGACCACCTTATACGATCTTAATAAAATTTGCTTTGTATTATTTGAATATAATTAATGAAGAGAACACCAAGGTTGAAAGAAATTTCGTAGATTTTTCTCTTTAAATAAAATTAATAAGAAATCGAAATATTCAATGTAAATAGCGAAATATAGTTTTTTTTTTTATACAACTTAGAATGACAAACAAGCTGACAGCCCACCTGATGGAAAGTGATAACCGTCGCCTATAGACATGAGCAGTATCATGGACATAACAGAGTATACTGTTTCGCCCATGATACCCCCCCCCCCATGCGTTGCCATTCCTGAGGACTCAGGTGTTATTCCTCTGTACCCAGTTAATTCACGCCATATCCCACCCTTCAAACCGAAACACTGCCATGCAAATACAACTGCTTCATGGCTGAAACACGAATGGGACAGAGGTACCCAAGCAATTGACTTATGTACAAAGTCTCCCTCTACAGTAGTAAAAGTATCGTCATCATTATATCAGCCTCCCTCATAAGTGATTTGCTAGTGGTTGCCACGCTATAATATCAAGAATGAGGAAAGGAAATGCTACCTATGGCATTACTGGCCCCGCTGCAAATCACCGCTGTCATAGCGCCGACCAGACCCGCTGATGCTGTGGCCTGAATTAAAAAAAAAAGAAACTTAAAAATATACATGATACAAATTCTATCACTACAGCATTACTCCTATTGTCTTAAGGTTATAGATACAAATTTGTAGTGCAATATATATATATATATATATATATATATATATATATATATATATATATATATATATATGTGTGTGTATTTGTAAAATAAAATATAATGTAATTAATTTAGTTTTGTCTTTTTAAAAATTGTACACTCCTGTATCCGCTGACATTGATGCTCCTTTCCACTTTGGGTTTGCTGGAAGAAAACTCTATCAGAGTTAAGCTCGCCTTTGTACTTTTGTTTACCTCTATCATATTTTTATAACTAATGTGTACAATAAAGTATTAAATAAATAAATAAATAAATACAATATTTCGTCATTCACACGTTATATTAAATCGCATATAAATATAAGTTATGTTAATGCATACTAACTATAGCACTTCCGGGGGGAAAGGGATTGTTAGTAATGGAGACTGAGAATCCCATTGCTAGCAATATACCCAACCAGGTCGCCAGCCTCGCGGTTCCCCCTGGAAACTATCATAGTTAATTCCTGATGAATACATCATGATGGGCTAACTGGCCTGTTTTCATTCTCATCTATCACCCTTCACTGGTGCTCCGCCAGCGTATTCCGTTAGCGCAGGCGAGGTTACCATTCCATTTTCACCCATAAAAAAAAAAACTATAGCAATTCCACAACAGCGATTCAAATTCGAAAATTTAATTTCGAAAAGCGATTAAAAAATTTAACATTCATGGAATAGCGAAAATCCAAAAATGTAACACCATAACACCAATACACAATCACACACCATAACACCATCAATTTATGTCTTCAATTGATAGATAGAAGTTTCTATCTCGATAAAAAACCATGTACCCAGTAGAGTTGCAAAACAATATTTATCTGGTCAGCTAGGATGTAAGTCTAATATGGCGACATACCAACTGCGCCTTCGCTGCTTCCCACCGCGAGAATCCGCTCTTCAGCAGGATAGCGAAGTCGCCCACTTCGTGCGGAATCTCATGTACTGCAATATATAAAGGCCCATGTCAAAATATCAGAGGCAGACTTTGTACAAAAGTCGATTGCTTGGGTACCTCTGTCCCATTCGTGTTTCAACCGTGAAGCAGTTGTGTTTGACTATTTACAATTTTCGTTCACGCTAATTACCCAAATCCATTGGCATCTACAAATCTCCAAAGGCATTGTTTATTTCAACTTGAGAGCCAGGATAATTTTTATTCCAATTCCAAAATGAATCCAGTAGATGGCGATAGCGTGCAAAAACAATGTTTGCTGGTTTAATTACAGTATTATTGAGTGCAATTTTACTAACACCATAAATGAGGAAGTAAGTTTGTTTGTTCCCGCTTGGTGTCTCATGAAATTTTACATTCATGGAATTTTTAGGTTCAAGGACATAGGCTATTTTTTATTCATGTTTTTTTATACAATTTAGAATGACAAACAAGCTGACGGCCCACCTTATGGACAGTGGTAATCGTCGCCTTTAGACATGAGCAGCACCATGGACATAACAGAGTATACTGTTTCGTCCATGATACCCCCCATGTGTTGCCATTCCTGAGGACTCAGGTGTTATTCCTCTGTACCCTGTAAATTCACGTCAAACATTCATGCCAACCAAACCGCTCACGTGGACAAATAAGCGGAAACAAATGAGTAAATTATCATCACAATATGAATGGTGAGATGTAATAGTATCTAACTGGTTTCTCTTACCAAGTATAGCGAATGTGGTGAGGAGGCCGACCCTGAATCCGACCAAGAAGGAACCGCCGACGGCCAGGCCGTGGGTGAAGTTGTCTATGGAATTCGCCATCAGATTTAAGTAGCCAGCTACCTGCAACGTGAACGTGCACTTCAAGTTTAGAAAGTCACTAATTCACATCCGGCTCCAAGGATCAAAACGATCTTTCTTCAAGAATATGAACTTCTTGTTGTATTTATCACTAATTTTGATAAAAAAAATGCAGTTCACCAAATAACATAGGGAAGCGAATTTAAAATTAATTTAACACATTTTATAAGTAGTGATATTATAAACGGAAATGAAGATGAATATGTCTATGACAAGAAACAATCAATTAAATAGATTTCAATAATACGCATTATATTTCCAATATTTTAATATACTGTACAGTCAAAACTAAATTTAAAAAAAAAATAAGAAAGAATGTTACTAACATGCTTTTTCCCGCTCTTTTCTTTGGATGCGTGCAGCGCTTTCTCTCGCGCCTCTCGCAGCAGACAGCGGCCCATCCAGCGGCTGCCCGGACCCCCCGTACCCCGCGCCCCATTTGCCCCGCCCGCTAACCTAGCGCTGCAGCATACAGCCTCACCTGTTAAAGTTTTGATTAAAGATATGTTCTTTAAATGCTGACGAAGTAGGAATGCAACTTCTTTAATCCTTAGAATGTCATAACAGGCGATTAAGGTAACAAAACACAATATACGTAACACAAGGACTTCGACAAAATAACTAAATATCGATAAAAATTAACAGTGTATGACATATGGACATTGTTCTATCCCATTCTATATATATGTACGTCTCTTTTATTCATATGCTTTTCTCTATTTTTACAAAGCAACTATTTCTGAAATTTGAGGCTTTGGAATCTTAAGCTAATGGCAATGTTTGGCCGTGAGGTACCGGTATACAATAAGCCACCCTTACGACACGCACGGGAAAGCGTGTCGTAAGAGGGGACTAAGGAGGGCGAGGGATGGGCAGCAGCGTCCCTCTTTAAACATCTTCAAAGCCTAACTGCGGTGGCCAATCTGCCTGGCAAGCACGGCCATTACTGGCAAAACCCTCCAAGGGGAGTCTTATGTTCAACAGTGGACAGTTAAAGGCTGATATAACGGTAACGATGAATGTAACAGAGCTCACAATTATTACTAACCTGAGGTGTTATTGTTGAAAACGCAAGAATCGTACAACTGTTTCGCGGTCACTTTTCCATTGCTACCGCATATGGACTCCCTCTTTCCTATACCCCGTTGTTTCCTCTCCACTTCTAGCAGCTTCTCGATCTCTTCTATTTCTATCTGCTTTATCGAGCCGTTCTGTTTGTGCTTGTGTTCATCGTCCTCCTCATCTTCTTCGACTGTAGCGAACAGTTTCTCGACCACAATGAAGACTAACATTCCAAATAAACACCAAAGACCGCATTTCATTGAGACATGCTCGCCTTCTGTAATAGAAAAGGTAATATATTATGAGTATTATTAACGGAAAAACGCAATGAATATAGTTTTTTCCTTTCTATGACCAAAAAACGGATAACCAAAGAGGTACTGTACGAAGACTTTCAGCAGCTGTGTTTCAATTGCCGACAAATGATCATATTTTTTTTTTATAATGTTAGTTTACATAACGAAAAGTAAGGACAACAAACCTATATTAGATAGATAGATAAATAGATAGATACTCTTTATTGTTTCCTCCAAAAGATTACAATAGTAAACTTATATTACATTTACACATAATAGATTACATTAGTAAAAGTTAAATGCCGTTAGTTATTAACATTGTTACTTGAGAACGATTGAATCAATTCCAATATGTTTTTGCTTCATAATTGTGGAATACTGGCCACATATACTATTTATAATTTGTATATTATTATTTTCCAAATTCGAAATTGAAACGTATCTTTATTGTTTCCTTTTGGCTTCCCTCCACGGTCCCAGTCTTCCAAGTTCCTTTCGATAATATACATATATTTCCAATTTCCATTTCTGGTTTCCTTTGACACCCAGAATAATAGTTTAAGCCTAAAGGGGTTAGACTAATTATATTTAATAGACACTTATGAATAAGGCTATTCATAAAAACGACAAACTGTTTTAGCTATGTATTTTGTATTTTTCTTTTACACTTATTTTTCAATTTGATAGACCGTGACAAAACACTCTACTAGTTAAAATAGGTTTGTAAGTTGTTTTAGTTTTCATAAATAAAGTTTTCATAAAAGAAAAAAAAAATAGGAATTTAGGCAAGACATTTATCGAAACAGCTAGCCATATAAAAAAAGCAACTTCCGTTAAAGATATTGTTCGAAATATAAAATTTAAATACATAAATAAACTTTACAAACAAAACGCGGTCACGACATCGATTCAGACGGGTTATCTATTACCAACATCCCAAAAATAATTATGTTTAAACAAATATCGCAAACAATAAAAGTATAAATGTTTACAAATATTGGAGGTGCATACAATATCTACTTAATAACAAAGCCATTGTCACGTCTGTATGTAAGTTCTATCCCAATAATAGATACGATTTTCCTTATAGTAAGTGTCAGTACGCGCTCAATTAAACGTTGAGGTTTTGTGTTTATTATTAATTAGTATAAAATAGACCTTATCGGACGGCAATAAAGTCGTCCATCACAGGTTTAGATAATGAGTGGGGTTTTGTGTTCCAAGCGATATCGTACAACCGATTTATTACCAGAAGCGACCGCGTGGTACAACGCTTACTCATACACAATGAAATGTAAATATCATTATAAAAAAAACAGTAACAATGTAATGTTGCGTCTGATATAATTTTGCTAAAACTAACCAGTCTGGTATTTTTTCATAATTTACCGCGATGCACGAGTTAAAAATACTTGAATTCTACGCGTACAAGAAGCGAGCGTAAATAGAAACTAGATATAATAAATTAACGGAATAAATTATGTAACATGGTTTTGTTCTAAACGCAGACTAGAGAATTTGTACGTACTCCTACCTTACTCAAGGCGAATCAAGATTTAACGTCGTTGACCTTACATTTTGTCATTTAATGCAAATATATATAGTATAATATATACATATATAATTGGCAGTGTGTTTCACTTTGTTATGGGATTTAAAGGATTTTTTTTTTATTCAACTTAGAATGGCAACAAGCTGACGGCCCACCTGATGGAAAGTGGTATCCGTCGCCTATAGACATGAGCAGTACCAAGGACATAACAGAGTATACTGTTTCGCCCATGATACCCCCCCATGCGTTGCCATTCCTGAGGACTCAGGTGTTATTCCTCCGTACCCAGTAAATTCACGCCATATCTCATCCTTCAAACCGAAACACAGCCATGCAAACACAACTGCTTCACGGTTGAAACACGAATGGGACAGAGGTACCCAAGGTATTAATTTTGTTAAGGAAATTAGTTCTTTCTGAAAGTAATACATTGTGAATATGTTTGTCATAGCTCGTCGAGTGACTTGAAGTGTGAGACCATGTTTCAATCCTATAAATCAACACTGACCACAGACACTTCATATGTCTAAACTTTCGTCTACGCCATTAATTACATGACCCCTACATACATATATTTTTTATTTCTCATCATCATCATCATATCAGCCATGAACTGTCCATTGTTGAACATAGGCCTTTCCCTTGGGGAGTTTTGCCAGTAGTTGCTAATCTTAGCAAGTGGTTTGGCAACTGCAGTTATGCTTTTACAGATGATTTAAGAGGGACGCTGCTGCCCATCCCACGACTATTAAGTTCCCTTAATCGCCTCTTACGATGCCCACGGGAAAGGAAGGGGTGCCTATTCTATGCGACCTACACACGACTAATAATGCAGTGAAAAAATTCGAAAATTGTTGTGAGTAAATAGTAACAGACTATTCATATTAATATTCATGTTAAGTGTAATACAAAACATGATATTATGTGCTATTGAATGCAAATTGTATCACTACATACTTGGAACCAAAATCAACAACAATACTGGTATTAAATATGTCGTGCAAATTGAATTTAAAAATGTTAGGCCGGTAACGTAGGACATTTTAACTCTAGTACATCCAGAAACCCAATATAATCATAACTATGTAATCATTATATTCGAAGTCCTATTCCGTAAGTTTTACTTGGTTTCGATAAAAATTTGTAAGCAACTAAAGAAAAAAAAACAATGTAAATTACATCCTCTGTTCCATATTTCTAATTTAAATAAAAAAAAAACTTTATCGGCATTCTGAATTCAAATTCAAATCATCTTTTGAACAAATATTGAATAGAGAAAATACAAATTAAAAAAGAATTAAACGTTAAAAAAAATATTCGAAAACATCAAAATGTTTATTTATTTTCTCATTTATTACAACGATGTCGTTACAATATTTAATAAAGTTTTCGGAGCAAACTTTTTTTAAATGCCCCAGGTTTTGTTGTTCTAGGTTGTGTTCCCCAGTTGTTTGTTGCCTAGTATAATATGTATAACGCGTCCAAGGTTAATAACCAGGCAATTGGTGTGATTCTCTCTTCTCATTTAAGAGTTTCCTCTTGTCGGTGCAACTAATTCATGCATTCTCTTCCAGCCAGCTCTATTAAAGGCCATATGTTTGACCTCCCTATACGACATGACACCTAGTGTTTCCTTTATCAGTCCGACAATCTCATTGATGCGATTAAGTGCACTTTATTATTATTATTATCATTATTCAATATTGTTTTTGAAAATAAACGCGATACAGACGTTACAATGACTCATAAATCGATCGATATGAAAGATCTTACATGTCACAGGCAAATAATACACTTAATCAATAACTTGCATATGCACAAACACGCGTAATCACTGTGAGTCACTGATAACTAGTAACATAGTTATGTAACATCAAATCTAGTCAAGATGTCCAACTATTAAGAAAGAACCAGAGGGAGACTTTCTACAAAAGTTGTTTGCTTGGGTAACTCTGTCCGATTCGGGTTTCAACCGTAAAGCAGTTGTGTTTGCATGGCTGTGTTTCGGTTTGAAGGGTGGGATATGGTGTGAATTTACAGGGTACACAGGAATAACACCTGAGTACTCAGGAATGGCAACGCATGGGGGATATTATGGGCGAAACAGTATACTCTGGTATGCCCATGGTACTGCTCATGTCATCAGGTGGGCCGTCAGCTTGTTTGCTATTCTAAGTTCTATAAAAAATGTGCCTTTTTTAAAGAAACTATCAGCTGAAATTACTATCGGGAGGCTGAATAATAGGAAATGATTATTAAAAAATACTTAAGTTGTAATTTTTTTGAATAAAAATTTCTATTTTTATTGAACACATAATATCGACTATCAAAAGGACTTCTTCCTGTATTTTTGTGGAGATTTCTGTTCTTCTATTTTTAAACAATTTACAAAAGATTTTCAATTCGATAGTATTTTTTGTAGCTATATTACGTCACCAAGCATGAAAGTTCTCAATTCGGTCGTATTTTTTTTTATGTTTGATACCCCATAATCACTATCACTACATAGTATAAAATAAAGTCGCTTATCGCTGTCTGTCCGTCCCTATGTATGCTTAATTTTTTAAAACTACGCAATGGTTACGGTTTTTTTTAATAATTAGAGTGATTCAAGAGATAGGTTTATATGTATAATACATGCATAATATAGTAGAGAAACACTGTTAATTTTAGAGGTTTCTAAAATGATGTGATGTAATGTACACCCGTGCGAAGCCGGGGCGGGTCGCTAGTCGTTTATAAACTAATTTGGATTTTTTTACCTTTGGATTTTTTAACCACAAAATGTTAGAACAATATACCACCTTCCATAAGACTGATCGCCACTAAGTCCAGTTTCAAAATTAATTTACAAAAATTCTTAATTGAGAGGCAAAAGTTAGACACTCCAGCAAGTTACCTCTACGTTCCATTTGTCGGCTAGATAAACTGTCATATCTGTCTGTTTACTGTCTATCTATCTATCTATTTACTGTATGGATAATCTGGTAGTATTGTTTTATTGTTACCCCTTTGGCCGCAACAGAATATCAGTGCTGTGCTCTTTTGAGGGCGAAGCAATAAACTGAGTTGGGACCATTTTGTATTGTTATGGCACATGCACAAACGAAAAATTGTATTTAGCTTTATGTATTTTTTTTTTAATCATTTATGTTATTTCGCTTTTTATGTATATCTATATATGTTGTAATTTGTGTAATGTGCAAATGTATGCAAATAAATTATCTATCTATCTGTCTACCTGAAAAGATATACTTTCGGATTGGTCCCATAGAAATTTTACAAAAATCGATTCAGTAATTTAATTACTGAATTAAAATAACTAATTTTAAAACTATTGTAGTTTTTTTTTTCGAGGAACGACTTCTTATTGTCATTCTAATGTCTACACAATATTTCGTCGTTCATCGTTGTTTTGAAGTAGCAAGTTTGTTTGGAAAACAAAACGTACTTGCTAGTTACAACAATGGTTTGACGATTACCTGGTGTGGACCTCAAGTCGTGCTCCCACGCTTCTGGCAACAGGTGCAAGAACACGTCTCCGAGCAGGCCGCCCACAGCGAAACTCAGCAGTATTCGCAATGTTGCCGCCCCAGCTGAAACAATGGAAAAATTGAACTTCTTAAGTGTCCAAAATTAACGATATAAACTCCCTCAATTGAAACTCGGGCAATCGCAAATAAGTGTCTGTATTTGAATGTAGCGACCTCTTTGAATAAATATCATGCTGATTAATGTATTATTTATTATAATTCATTTTAATGAAACATTTAATGCCTCTGACTATGCTATGGTACTTCAGTCCTTAGCATATTTTTTTTTCAATTGTTGTTTAAACTTGTTGCGTGAACGGTCCTCCGATTGTTCAAGTGATCATTTGAATCAGATTCCATCTTATTTCTTATTATCGACTTCCAAACCAATTTCTTTAACAATAGTCTTATCCTTAAAATAATCCTTCGAACACTCAAATGGTCCTTCGAGCCGGATTTTGCCTCATCTCTTATTATGAACATCCAAACTAGCTAAACTATGCTCGTATTCAGTGTATTAGCTACTAAACGGCCGTGTGGTCTCGGCATAGAATAGGCCATCCCTTCCTTTCCCGTGGGTGTCGTAAAAGGTGACAAGAGAGGGCGCGTGATGGGCAGCAGCATCCCTCTTAAAACATCTCTAAAGCCTAACTGCGGTTGCTAATCCGCCTGCCAAGCGTGGCAACTACTTGTGTTACTGTTGTACTTATGTTCAACAGTGGATAGTTAAATGCTGATATAATAAACTACTAAACCACCAATAATGTGTAGCAACACTGGCAGTAAACAGATTGATAAGTTTACATAGTAACTTTATGTAGGTAATCTGTGATAGCCTACTATTACACGGAGATCTTGAAAAACATATTGATAATTCAATATACGATGATTGGATTTATCTAATCTACATATAAATGATAAATAGACAAAAGTTCATTGTTTCAAAGCACAGCGGTCTGGCGTGATGTTGAATTGATGATGTCATTATCCTTGTGGGTGTAAAAAAATTACAGTATATTTTGATATACGTCTAAATGCACTGTTTACAAAGACTCAGGTCATTACGCTTAAATTTTAAATTCGACGACAAAAAACCTATTTTTATATGTTAACAGAGATTTAAAAGAGTAACTGTCGAGTTTCTTGCGGGCTTTTCTTAACATTTATAATAACAACTTTCTGAACTCTTGGAGTAGATTTAAAAAATTACGAGTTAATAGTGCTTGTATACTTTTAGAATAAAGATGATATGAATTTGAATTTATTATGAACAAGCTGGTCTGACGAAGGTCTTTTTCCGAATTTGAAATGTTTGTACTGGCAGCTAGGAACAGTTTGAAAAAGAAAAAAAAAGAATTTCAAGTTCTTCCAGAAAATTTTCATATTATTCTCAACAAAAAACTTTTTTCAGACTTCAAAGCACACTTCTTTAAAAAAGGAATTACCGAATTAGAACAACTGTTCTCGAATTTTGCGCTTAGCAACACATTTATATTTTTTTATCTTTAAAGATGTGAGAGTTTGTAATAATGTTTGTTTATTGCACAATTATTATCATTTATGACTTTAGTATATATATTACTATATACTCGTATGTACATACATAATGTGAAGACATTGTATCCATATTTTATACTAGCTTTTACCCGCGACATCATCCTCGTGACCGAGATATGTTGATCGATCGGGAGAACATGTAACCTATAACCATCTCCAAGAGAGAGGGGAAAAAGATGGTTAGTAATGGGGTCTAACAGCCCCATAATTAGTAATATAACCCTTTCTTATCAGATCGAGCTCCACGCGGTAGCCTCTGGAAAATATATTGATCAATTCTTGCGGAATTCATTACGATGGGCTAATTGGCCTGCTTTCATCCTCACCTATCATCTCTCACTGGTGCCCCGCCAGCGTATATCGAACACGTAGGCACGATTATCATTTTATTCTCACCCATTAAAAAAACCGTTCCATCTATCTCTATACCAAAATGCATCGTAATCAATTCAGCAGTTTAGACATGAAAGCCAAACAGACTCACCTTCTCATTTATAACATTAGTTAAAAATGGTGACGACGTAAGAATATTTCTTTTTTTATATATATTAAGGGAAAAATACAGAAGACCAGTGCAAGATCCTGAATACTCGTCACAAAACCATGTACCAAGCCTTGATCTAAAATGATAATAAACTATTCCTTCTTTAAGAGTTTACTTTTATTAGTGCATGCACCTTCTTCTAGCCAGCTCTATCCCAGGCCATATCCTTGACCTCCCTATACGACATGACCTATAGTCGTCCCATATAGTTATTCCTCGGTTTTCCCCTTCCTCTTCTAACTTCTATTTTTCCTTCTACTATATTCTTTAAAAAATCGTCGTGTCGTATAAGATGGCCCAGCATTTTGTCTCTTCTATTTTTTTTTTTTACAACACAGGGGGCAAACTAGCATGCGGCTCACCTGATGGTAAGTGACTACCGCCGCCCATGGTCACCCACAACACTTACGGCATTGCAGGTGTGCTGCCGGCCTTTTAAAATGGAATATGCTCTTTTCTTGAAGGTTATGTTGTCGTATCGGTTCGGAAATGCTGCTGCTGGAAGTTGATTCCAAAGAGTGGTTGTGCGTGAGAGAAAGTGCCTTGAAAAACGCACGGTGGAGGACCGCCACTCGTCCAAGTGGTTGGGATGAAATTTTAGTTTATGGCGGGTTGTACGATGGTGAAAATCAGCAGCAGGTATCAATCCGAACAATTCTTCAGAACACTCCCCATGATAAATTTGGTTTCTATTCTCTATTGTTTTTATTATATATTTGACTATTATTGATTTAAATTTATGATTGAAGTTTAAGTACTTACATAATATTATTATCAAGGCTTATTACTTAATCGGTACTCGTGATTTGTTGTTGATAACATCGATTGCTTTAATCTACGTACAAGTAGATATTGTCGCCTCGCTACATACAATGTTTGTAATTGTTTTTATGAATTATAAACATTGTGATAATCCCTGGAACGCAAAGATCATATATCGCGAACCTCATATTTGCCTTCACTACATCGTGGAATCTCTTTAACACAAATACACAATTAATTTTTTTATCTATTTTTTTTTATACACACACAACTTGACACAACTTAAAATGGAAAACTAAAATGGCTGACGGCCCACCTGATGGAAAGTGGTAACCGTCGCCTATAGACATGAGCAGTACCATGGACATAACAGAGTATACTGTTTCACCCATGATACCCCCCATGTCATGCCATTCCATTTATTTATTTAACTCTTTATTGCACCATAAATAATAATTTAGTACAATGACATTATTATTATCTATTTTAGTGTTCTTTTGGACACCTTTATAATTTGCCGTAGCACTGCACAAATTTTACCGTCACGATAGAAATGAAAAAAAAAATAGTTTTTTTTATATATCACATGTGTGTATTTTGGAGGTAGGGTAATGAGGTTAATAAGCCCTATTACTAACAACATACCCTACTAGGTCGACCTCCACGCGGTTCTCCTTGGAAATTATCGCGATTTGAATTCGTCAGGCTGGGCTAAATGACCTGCTTTCATTCGTATCTATCATCCCTCACTGGTGCCCCGCCAGTGTATACAGATAGCGCAGGCGGGGTTACCATTCCATTATCACTCATTAAAAAAACCAGCTAGGACAGAATGACTAAACAAATGCACTTCTATTTTAAAACAGACATGATATATGGCAACAAACATATGGTAGTATGACCCATCTTATAATAGTTACTGTGGCCTATGGCCGCCTGTAATACCAAGGGTGTCACGTGGGTTGACAATGAGTCAACATGCCGAGCGCATCCACTAAAATGTAGGGATTAAATTTCTTTAATACTTTAAAGTTTATTCAAAAAATCACGTTTTTATTTCAATGAATAGAAGAGAAAAAAATATACAATATACGAATATAAATAACACAGGGGAGAAAGGGATTGTTAGTAATGGTCGTCTAGTGTCTATCCCAAGAGTTGAGCAATCAAAGAGGCCAATGTTTTTATTTATATAGACCAATTATAAAACTGATAACTGAGCCACGAGTTTCATACCATTTTCACCCATCAAAAAAAAAAAAAAAAACTTTCGGCGCAGTTTGTTTTCGTAATTAATTTTATCAGTAATTAATTATATACGAAGATTTTATGTATTATTTATATTTTTTTTTAATGGTTGATAATGGAATGGTAACCCCGCCTGCGCTATTGGTATACGCTGGCAAGGCAAAAGTGAGGGATGATAGGTGACGATGAAATGTTGAATTCGTCACGATGGGCTAACTGACCTGCTTCATCCTCATCTATCATCCTTCACTGGTGCCTCGCCAGTGTATACCGATAGCGCGGGTGGGGTTACTATTCCATTATCATCCATTAAAAAAAAAGTACAGAAGTACTAGTTATCTTTGATCGAGCCATACTATGTAGTTAAGGTACATTTGGTTGTAATCGGTCATTACAGAAAGGCAAGGTCAGGAAGTTCACAATTTATCTAAAAAAGACATTATCAGCAGCACCGTTAACTCACGTATATGCAGATAAAGAGACATAATGCCAACATGTCCGATAGTGAATATTCAGAGAAATTGGATATTATTTTTATTTGTGTATAATAAATTTATCTATTCGATCACTTAACTACTGCGAAGTAAAAACTATATCCCAATAGTATAGTAAAGTAATTTTTGTCTATAGCAAACTTCTTTCGATATTTGTTGTTAATCTTTGTAATTCAAGATTCTCAACAATCTGTGAATGCAGGAGGATAATGGATACAATACAGGGTGTATCAGTCAGTATGTAGTCAGGTCGACCTCCTCGCGGTTCCTTCTGGAAACTATCGTGTTCTATTCTAAGTGAATTCATCACGATAGGCTAACTAACCTGCCTTTTCATTGTCAACTATCACCCCTCACTGGTGCCCCGCCAGCGTATACCGTTAACGCAAGCGGGGTTACCATTCCATTATCATCAATAAAAAAAAAACCGTGAATTGCATGCGTTCATGTGCTGCACC